TGAACAATATTTTGTGTTCGTTTAATTAAATGAACGAACATGAACAAAGGGCTCGTTCGTTCATTTACGTTCGTGAACGTTCAATAATATATTCGTTTATGTTCGTTAGTTTATGTTCATTCATTTATGTTCGTTTATATTTGTTCGTTTATGTTCATTAATTTATGTTCATTTATGTGCAGTGTAACACCCCAATTTAGGGGCTAAATTTAAGAAAATATAAATTGGTGGATTTAATTTGGTATTTTGAAAGAAATAAGGGATTAAATTGTAAGATTTCAAAGTTGACAGACCGTTTTAAGAAGTGCAGGAAGTTCAGTGGCTAAACTCTTGGTTTAGCCATTTTTAATTATGAGATGTTATAAACCCCCAGACTCCCGTATGTTTCTGGAAAATTTTCCAGTTTTCCTTTCCCGTTCTCCCTACTTCCAACTCCAATCTACTCGCCGTCCGACCTCCAAACGACAAGCCGAAACAACCATCGTGTTCGTTGTCAACCGAGGAACAAAACCCCTCAAACCTTTCGTCGTGAATCATCTCCGTTCGTCGTGAATTTCAGTCGGAAGTATCGTCGGTAATAACTCAGTTTTAGTTGGTTTTTCATCGATTCACGACGATCGGGTCATCCGTTTACGACACCTCCCGCACCATCGTGTTCCTTGTGCCGTTCCGAGTCCACTGGTGTTCTCCTTTTTCTCCGGCGGCGGCGGCGCGTTGGGAGGTGAATCAGTCAAACTTCCCGATTTGTTGAAATCGAGCTCTCCGCCGTTCAAAATTGTGAACCGAGCTTTGTAAGTATCTCGAAATCGCTCAAAATAATTTTTAGAAATTTTTCCGGGATTTTATCACTGTTCACGCGCCCCACGCGCCACCACTGCGCGTGGGGAAGGGAAAAGTGACCGGTTTGACCGGTTTTGGAACTGTTTTGACCGGTTTGACCGGTCACAACCCGACCCGACCCGTTGACCCAACCCGACCCGTTGACCCGACCCGTTGACTGTTGACCCGTTGACCGTTGACCGGAGTTGACCACTGTTGACCAAAACTTTGACCGGCTTTGATCGGGCATTAAACGACCTTTGACTTCGACCGAGTATACCTATCCTGACATTTTTCGACGTTCCAAATCTGATTCCACTGTCCGTTTTTCAAAATTCGAACCCGAAGTCTTCGAAATTGTCAGTCAAACCCGTTGACTTTGATTTTGACCGAAAATTCCAAATTTCCGAAAAGTCATATTTTATGCTTTCGACGTCCTGAATCCGAATCCGAAGTCCGTTTCACCAAATTCGAACCCGGTAAGCCGTCTTTCACTAATTTATCACCCGATTCGATCCGTTTATCGTAATTAAGCTCCGTTTCTGATATAATTTATGTTGATATGTATCTGAGGAATTATTGGAAGTTGAATTGAAGATCAAAGGCGTTCGAATGGAATTTTTATGGTCGATCAGTATTGCACGGAAATCAAGGTAATACTTTACTACCTCTTTATGCTTTATGGAACATGTTGATATTGGTAAATGCATGAATAAGATAATGTTGGTCACTTTTGTGGAGTTGAATAATTTATTCACTCGATATGAATGTGGTAGAAATTCTGTAACTGAATACGGATCGAATGACTAATATATGAGATTGAAAGATTGTTAGAATTAAATTACAATTGTGTGAATAGTGATAAAGAAATCAGACATGGATTTGTAAATTATATTTTATATCATCAAAGGATTAAATGTTAAAGGTACTTGGATGGGAAATTATGAGAATACTTCGGTATGGTAAAAATAGGAAATTACTCTTATATTGGAAAATGATAAGAATTGTCCCTGGAAGTGGACTAATAAATCTGAAAAGACATATTGATACGATAAATATATTGATGTGCATAAGAAATGATAGTTATACTTAGAAATTATGGATAACCGGTTTTTAACCCCAAGAGGGTTTATACAAGATACTAGAAGTGTGTTAAGGGAATTATTTCAAGATCAGAGAGTGTTCAAGAAAGCAATTAATCATAGGATCTCTAAATTATATTATTTTCGTTAAGAGCTAATATCGAACTTATCTGGTTAAGAAATTACAAAAATGCCCTTAAGAGGTAGAATAGTCTGAGATGACTCTGAATGAGAAAATACTTAGAGGATTCGTACTTAACTCGATTAAGTACGGATTTAATTGTTAAGATCCCGACTTAGTGCAGGAAAATTTATGATATTCCGTTTGTAAAGTCTGAGAAGACACTTGACCTGAAAATATTCAAATAATGAGTAAATACTTGAAGAGTAATTTATCGGGGGTATTTTGCTATCAGAATTGTTCGAACGGACTGGAATAGATAATAAATTGGAATGAAATAATAAGACCGGATTGAGGAAAAAGGTTGAATTACCCCTGTAATAGAAATGACCCAAGAATATCACCAAGCTCATGAATGATTGAATATCCTCGAGCTCTGAAATGAATGGAATAAAACTAAACATCAAAATTACCAAAATACCCTTATGGCCTAAATTAAGTAAATGTCTTGGATTAATTAAGGAATCCAAGTAAGATAAGTATTGGACTACCTTTAAAGGTAATGGAAAACAATTCAAGTGAATAGATCAACCCTAAAGCTATGTCAATACCTGAATGACATAAATATTACTGGAACATGTGTTCATCTTCTCAAGTTTGGCTCGATGATAAATTTTGGAAGTATTCAACTCAGCTCTAGATTGTATTCAGTACTAAGAATTGAACGTTTGTTCGACAATCAACCACGAAGACCAAATTGAATGGAATGGAAGTACAACATGTATCTGAAATTCAGGAACGTTTGAATTACTCTGGAAAATCCTGAAGTAACTGGAATAGAGATGACTGCTAAATGAAATAGGTAACTTCAATGACTGAGGATTTAGTAAGTGACTTGGATAAGTCTGGAAACTCTGATGAGTTTACGTAGTGTACAATTACAATGAGTTTGAACAAATTAATCAAGTACGTCAGCATTTCATGATATTGTAGAAGTGTGGAAATGAAATAAAGACATTGGAAGATCTATTCAACGATGATTCCGAAAATGGTCTATGGACAAGAATTGTGGTATTAAAGAGTAAATACCCTGGAAGAACAATGAATTGACCAATCGACAGGCATTAGTTCTGGAAACTATTCATCTAAGAGTTGTCCGATAATTCGATCAATCGATAGATAATATAAATGTCCTGAACCTTCATTTCTTCCTTATCAGCTCAAGTCACTTTCTGAATAACTGATGATTCTGCCAGTTATTGAACTCTTTCAATAGTGATTCTGAATTCCGATATTCTATCGGTATACTAAAGATCCGTGTTCCCCTACTTGTTAAGATTATCCAATATCTTTGAATACTATCTGTAAATTCTGGTGTGTTCCCTACTCACATGAATATTTTACCTGATTTTCGATTTGATTTCTGATCTGATACTTGACATGGATTCTGATCTGATATCTGACATGGATTCTGATCTGATACTTGACTTGGATTCTGATCTGTTACTTGACCTGATTTTTGATATGATACTTGACCTGATTTATGTTTTGATTTTTGATATATCCGTTTACGGACGGACATATCTTACTTGGGGGGGGTAATGTTGGAGGAAGTATACCTGGAGGCTCCTCGGCTGTGTGCTCAGGGCCTTATTTACCGGTTCCTCGGCTGTGTGCTCAGGGCCAACTGGACTTGATGGTGGGTGTATGGTTCTGGGGAACCTACACAACTTGGACTTGTTGGATGGGGGTATATATATATATGTTTTAAAAAAAAAAGATCTGAAAAGTTACATGATTTTTGGGAACACACTAGAAAACCTGTTCTGATCTCCTGAACCTAGACATCCGAAATATTTCCATCTGAAATGAATACTATTTGTTACTACATGCGATATCAATGGACATCAGCTCAACATAAAGATCTGTAAATATCTGAACCAATAAAGAAAATATGTTTATCTGTATCTGCACGTTTTTCAGCATCATCTGGTAGTTCTGTATTACTGAGCTTTTCGAAGCTCACTCTATTACTCACCTTTTCAGGTTAAAAGAATTGTACCAGTGCATCTATCGGCTTCAGTAAGGGAGTTCTTCCGGCGTTGTTGCAGAGTATGGTACATGTGATTAGGGGGCATGTAATTGTATTTTGATTTATATACGAGTCTGGAAATATGTTTTATTTTTAAATAGTGACAAATGATTTTATAAGTTTACATGTTCTGATAAAAAGATTTAAATTTTCCGTTATTTTTTACAATGGGTCGCTCCGGTGGCCCTAATGTGACTTCTCGGATCGGATCGGGCTACCCCCATCGGTCTGGGGGGTTACATGCAGCCTAATCTCTCTAGACTCATTTAAAATATTAAGGCCCAATAAGTTTTAATATGATACCCATAAATATTTTAAAATTAATTAATTTTAAAACAAATAAAAAAAGCTCAAAACAATTAAATAAAATATAATCTTAAAATTGTTAGGAAAGAAAAAATATATTTTCATATATGTTCGTTTACGTTCATTTACGTTCATTTATTGTGTTCGTTTTGCGTTCTTTCATTTGTATTTATTTACGTTCGTTTATTGTGTTCGTTTATATCCGTTCGTTTATGTTCGTTCATTTGTGTTCGTTTATTATTTAAATGATCGAACATGAATAAGCTAAATTCCTTAACGAACGAACATGAACAAGAAATTTTTCGTTCGTTTATGTTCATATTCGTTCATTTGTTTGGTTAAAGTTAAACGAACGAACATGAACATATCCCGTTCGTGTTCGTTCGGTTCATTTACAGGCCTAAGTGTTCCTCCCCACACTTATTTATGTTACATTGTGAACTCCAATAAATACAAAAACTCAATAATTTATTAGAAAAAAAATACTCTATCCAACTTAATAACGCATTATATACGTTAAATAATAATTTAAAATCTGAATTATGATATTATAAATTGAGTTAAAAAATTATTATCAAGTATTCGATTTAAATTGAGAAGACTTGCCAGGGGAAACAAAAACAGAACATACACCCTCATACATAATGGCAGCATGGACTCGTATGAGTTTAAAACTTTGGGTAAATTACATATTTAATACCTAAACTATCAGTTTTGGTATGTTTAAGTATCTAAACTTTCAATTTTTTTAAAGCCATACTTAAAGTTTAATTTTTGTTTCATTTTGATACCCGTCGTTAAAACCTTAACGCGTTTAGTACCTAAACTATCAGTTTTGGTCCATTTTAGTACCTAAATTTTCAAAAAAAAATTAGAACCTAAGTATGATTTAGGTACTAAACGTGTTTTGATACCCATACTTTCATTTTTTTTCAAAACTTAACAGCAGAGTACTAAAATGAAACAAAAATTAAACTTTAGATATGATTTTGAAAAATCTGAAAGTTTAGGTACTAAAACGGATCTAAACTGGTAGTTTAGATACTAAATGCATTGTTTACCCTAAAACTTTAGAATGCCACTTGATTATGGCTTATCAAACAGCTACCGGAACTTTAAGGGCATCTAGTATCTTATCGTCTATCTCGAACTTCATGGGTTTCTTGTCACGCCCGACCTTTACATACTCCTCAAATCGCTCCTTCAAGTCTTCTGGCAGATTTGTTGTGCCCTCCCACCCTAGTATGTCCTTTGCAGCTCTTGGTTCGGCGTAAAAGTGCTGCCCATAAGAACGATAAAGGTGATTATACAGTTCAAATCAGTTTCCCATTAGACTGTATAGACTTTCGGATTTGATTAGTCGATTTGAGATGAAGATAACATAAAGATTATATCCATCCTGTGAACTTGTTGCAGTGAAACCATATTTTTGCTTGAAGAACAGTATGCTCAAGTTAAGAAGTATTGTTTACCATATTACGGAAAGGAAAAGCTTTCCTTGCATCGATTCCGGCAGCTTTTGGATCGTAATGAACAATTTCTACCGGTAAGCCGGCGGCTTCGGCACACAATCTGGCCATTCCATCAAGAGTCACTGCACGGTCGCTCACACAATTGAAGATATTAGAAGCTGCAGCTTCTGGTTTTTCAACAGCTAGGGTCAGCATAGAGGACAAGTCTCTAACATGGGCAATGTTAGTAAGTTGCATCCCTGAGCCTGGGATTGGCACAGGTCTGTTTCTCACAATTCCTGTTGCAAGAAAATGTAAAAATCTGATTGCAAAGTTCTATGGATAAGTTGAAAATATTGCTACACTTACTGTCAAAGAACCACTCCTCACAGTCTTTGTTGTTTCCGGATCCGATCATGTATTGTGGCCGGAATATAGACCAACTACTGAAAACTTCTGCAATGTATTTCTCGACTCCGACATGGCCTGCGTCAGCTTTAACAATATCCTGCAATGGTGAAGATTTTGCTTAAGCAACGTATCCAGTATTGTTTATTCATGCTAGGGACAACATTATATACATTCACATATTGTTATATATACCCCTTCGACATGAGGTGGCTCGTCTGTCGGCTTATAGATTCCGGCACTGCTGATGAACAGGAATTGCTTCACTCCAGAGCTCTTCGCCCAATCTACCACCGGCCTATGTTGAAAGCATTGAAATTTGAATGAACTGCTTTATTTACATTACATGCAGGTATATGCAAGTTCCTACTTGTTGATTATCTAGCTTTAATCCAATGATTGTTGCTTGTCTTTGATGTTTTCCCATATATGTACACTCATGCATGCGAACCATTGCTCTCCTCCCAAAAGATAACCGAGACGATTACTTACATCGAGTCGTACATGTCTTTTGAAAAAGGAGTAATGGTCGATCGAGTTGCGTTTACATGTGATATTCAAGTTCAATCCTTAATTTTTTAAAGAAATTGATGCAACGGACCTGACGGTGTCCAAGTCCTTGCCATTGTTATCCAACACCACATCAAATGGTGCCCCTGCAACAACATTCCCTACATCCGCAGGGTCTCCCCACACGGTCTTCCCTCCAGCACTCGTAATTTCCTATAATCATTCTCAAATCCCATACAAAAAATGACAAAACAAAACAAGCTCCTATTAGAAACCAAATGACAACAACAAAAAAACCCAGAAAACAAGTTCTTACGGAGAATCTGTTAAAAGGAGGCTTCTTCATCTTATCCGAACCCTCATCTCCGACAGTCATGACGGTGACCTCATGGCCAGAACCCAAAAGTTGTTTTGCAAAGTAAAAACCAATGACTGCATGGCCACCACTGTTTGTATTGAGTATAAGGACCGTCTTCTTGTCTGCAGCAGCGGCCCTGACAGTGAAAGGAGAGTAGCGTGTAGAGGTTGTGGGGTAGGGAAGGGAAGAAGGAGAGATCGAGAGAGGAGAAGAAAGAAAAGAGGTAATGGGAAAAGATAAGCGTGGGAGAGGATAGAGAGAAGGGGAAGAAAGCTTGGAAGGCGGTGAGGTGAAGAGGAGGGAGGAGGAGGAGGATGAAGAAGCAAGAGCAGCCATTGAAATGGAAGGTTTACTTTTGCTTGGTGCTTGTTTCAGAACCAGCAATTTTCATGGATCATGGTTAAGGCCTTTATCTAAAGGTAACGGTTGTGGATTGCTCCCCTTGCATATGCCCGTATCATTTTCAGAAGTATTCAAGTTTTTATTTTCATTTTTTTATATATTTTTCCCAAAATTATATGAAAAGTAATAAAAATGAGTAAAGTATTCAAATGGTCCCTAAACTATAGGGTATTACTTTGTTGAGTCTCTTGACTATTAAAAGTTACAAAATGGTCATCCGACTATTCATATGTTCCAAATTCGTTCTTTTTCGTTAAAAAATTGACGGTCGTTTGAGATGTACGTTAACTTGTTGACTTGAATATAATAAAATTAATCTCAAAATTGTTTTAGTTGTATTTTGTGGATTGAATTTTCATTTATACTATGTCATCGAGTTGGTGCTAAAAACATTATGTGGGCGAGTAAGTTCTTGAAAGCAACATCGGTGCTAGTAGATATCATTAAAATATGATTTTATCTTTTCTCAATTAGCATATTAATATCCAACTTAGATGGACGTTGATTTTTTTAACAGAAAATTATGATTTTGGGATATATGAATAGTTGAGTGATCATTTTGTAACTTTTAATAGTCGGGACTCAAAAAAATTGTCTTATAATCGGTGACCATTTTGTAACTTTTAATAATCAAGGGACTCAAGAAAACAATACCTTCTAGTCATGGACCATTTATGTACTTTAACCAATAAAATTTGGGTTAAACTAAAAAAACCCTGAACTAAGCTTTTCCTTTTCTCTTTAATTAGTTTTGTTTTGTAAATAATTCATTTTAAATCTATGTTAAAATATTTTTATGATCATACAATTTGATGGAACATTCGAACGATCGATCGATTCTTTTTTTTCATCTAGCTTCAACCATAATGAATTTTTGAATGAACAAAATTAGGGGTGTTCAAATCCGGGTACCAGGTTTTCGGGTAATTGATTTCTCGACCCGTGCCCCGTCTCGGATGTTGCGGGTACCCGAATACCCTTTTTTTCAAATTATTAATTAAAAAAATACACACAAATTTAAATGTTTGAAACTTCGAATTACATAGTCTAACATCCAAACATAATTAAAAAATTTCATGTTAGCATCATTGTTCATTTTAAAATATGGTGACCAAAACAGAATCAAAACGTAACTGTTGAAAACATTTTGATGTTTCGATATAACAAAGTAAGTTAAATGAATTTTAAGATTTTACAAATGATTTTCTAAGTATATTCGATACAATTATTCGAATATCAAAATATTACTCCAAGTCTTTCAAAGTTTAATTTCAATCCTTACTAAAGTGTAAAATTGTGTTTTATACTTAAAATATTTTTAAAACAATTTTCACAAAGTATTTCGAACAAAAAACGAGCCAAAAATCAAATTTGTTAAGGGATGCACCGATGCACTCATTGATGCATCGATGCACACCCCATTTCGAATGCATTTTATGCATCGATGCACTGCCATGCATCGATGCACTCAAGATTTTATGGAAACATCGAATGCATTTTATGCATCGATGCACAGACCATGCATCGATGCATTCTAGGCTTGTTTGAAACATCGAATGCATTTTATGCATCGATGCACCCTTAGTGCACCGATGCACTAAGTGTTCCAACGGTCAAAATATTTGAATTTTACACTTGATGCATCGATGCACCTTAACTATGCATCGATGCACACACGCTCCCAACTGATTTTATTAATTGTTTTCACACACTAACGACTCTATTAACTCCAGTAATGATCCCCAACGTTCATAAATGATCCAAGGAGTATTTAAACAAGCTTAGAAGCCATTGATCAACAACAAGAAACAAGAATCAAGAGATAATCAAAGAGAAAGCAACAAACCTCAAGTTTGAGCATTTTCAAGCCTATTTCATTCAATATCCATCTTTGCTTTCAAGAACACTTATTGTACTCAATTGTATTATTCTTGAGTGTTCTTTCTTTGTTCTAGAATTGTGCAAACATCTTTCCTTGTGAGGTTTTTCTTATAAGTTTGCAAAATTTGTATTGTTCTCTTTGGGAGAGAGTGTTCTCAAGAATTTGGGGTATAATTCTTGAGGGATTTGTAAGGTTACTCTTTGTCCTCAAAAGAAAGACAAATTAGTGAATTTATGGAAAATCCTTAGTGTGGATAGCTAAGGTAGTGGACGTAGACTTTGGTTGAGAAAGTCAAACCACTCTAAACCGCTGTGCAAATATTTTCAATTTTCTGCAAAAGCTTCCACCGAAATTTTTATTGCCAATTCACCCCCCTCTTGGCATATTTCGTCGATCGATTAACTCAACAATTGGTATCAGAGCCTCACTCATTTGAAGGTTTAATCATCTCTTGACTAGATCCGGGAAGAGTTAAATCGATAAAGATGTCGTCCACTTCCGGTTCATTCTCCATGGAAGAATCCAGACCAATTGACGTGCCTCCACACTTCAATGGAACAAATTATCGTCGTTGGAAGAGGTTTATTATGATATTTTATCCAAGCATTTGATATGGAAGCTTGGATAATAATCGAGAAAGGATATTCCTCTCCTACGAAGAAGGCAAAGAAGTGGAGTAATCAAGAACGGAAGAAAGCTCAACAAAACACAAAGGCTATGCACATGTTGTGTTGTGCAATTGATACTAATGTATATAAAGGAGTTTCTTCTTGTTCAAGTGCCAAGGAGATGTGGGATAAGCTTGAGGAGATATATAGAGACAAGGAAGAAGAAGAACCAATAAAGATGATGTCTCTATTAGCTCTCACAGAGCCAAATGTATCTTCTAACTCAAATAAATTAAATTCAAAATCTTTTAATAAGTTAAAAGATGCTTATGATGAATTATTTTTGGAGTTTGAGACCATGAACTCCAAATACAATAAACTGATTTCTAAATTTATAGCTAAAAATGATCTTCTTTTGAAAGCTAAAACAGATTTACAAAATCAAAATGAAATGTTGAGAAATGAGTTAGAGCTTTCAAAAACGAAATCTGAAAAATTTGAAAAAGGAATTTTCGAATTAAACAAACTTCTTCTAGAAACTAAAAAGGATTTTGAAAATCAAAACGAAATATTGAAGGAGAATTTAGAACTTTCAAAAATGAAATTTGAAAGTATGGAAAAAGAAAATTTAGATTTAAAAGTTAAGTTTGAAAGCTTAACAAAAGAAAACAAAGATCATTTTAAATAATTCATCTAGTTCCATAATGACAAAATGTTCATATTGTCATTATCATGGTCACAAGGAACATACTTGTCCTTTAAAGAAAGGAAAATATCTCAAAATCAGACAAGTATGGATTCCCAAGGGAACAAGGAGCATTGAAACTAACGCTAAAGGATCCAAAGAAATTTGGATACCAAAATCTACTTAAATGTTTCTTGTAGGCGTGTGGGAGAAATTATGATGAAAATGATGTTATTCAAGATACTCTATCCACACATGAAAAAGGAATGGGTAACCTCTAAACTTAATATTACTATTATTTTATTTGGTTGCTCATTTTTCTTATGCATGCATGAGATTTTAAATATTGAATAATTATGTTTTATCTCATGTATGTTGAAAAATGTTTTATGATGAATAATATAAATTTTTCATCTTTTTTAATTTTAGTTCATCATAATAATTTTTTGTCAAAATTATTTTAAACGTAAATGATATCTCTTTAACAATTGATATCAAAATTTTCAAATACTATTGGTTTTACAAATTTTGACCTTAAACTTTTAATGCTTATGCATAGATTTAAAAATTTCAATGATATCAACCTTTAATACATAACATCTTTAAAACTTTATGCATATGCTTTCAATCTCAAAAATCAACATTGCATAATGTTTTATATGTGAATGTGTTAAAGTATAATCCGATTAGATGAATTTGACAAAAGATACAATGTCTTATTTTAAAGTGCTTACAAATTTGATTGGCATTGCATCTATTTTGATTATGCTTGTTGGTCATAGAATAGGAAATATATACATGGTGCATTTAGACTCTATTGATATGACTAATTTATGCCTAGTTGCTAAGGATGAGCATGATAGTTGGTTATGGTATAGGAGACTAGGACATACTAGTATGAGTGTTTTGCAACGACTAATTCAAGGAGATTTAGTAAGAGGGTTGCCAAAGCTAAAATTTGATAAAGATAAAATATGTGATGCTTGTGCTAAAGGAAAACAAATTAGAGCTTACTTTAAGTTCACTAATGATGTATCAACTAGTAGAGTATTACAATTGATCCATATAGATCTTTTTGGGCCAACTAGAACTACTAGCTTGGGTGGAAAACAATATGTATTTGTCTTGGTAGATGACTATTCTAGATATACTTGGGCTCTATTCTTAAGTACTAAAGATGAAGCATTAGAAAATTTCATCATGTTTTCAAAAGTAATCCAAAATGAAAAAGGTTACTCCATCACTAGTGTTAGGAGTGATCATGACACTGAATTTGAAAATCTTGGATTTACCGATGGTTTTAGTCACAATTTTTCAGCACCTAAAACCCCTCAACAAAATAGAGCTGTTGAGAGGAAAAATCGAACTTTAGAAGAAATGGCTAGAACTATGCTTTGTGAAAACAATTTGCCAAAATATTTTTGGGTGGAAGCCACAAATATCGCTTGTTATGTTATAAATCAAGTAATGATTAGCCCAATTTTAAAGAAAACTCCATATGAAATTTTCAAAAATAAAAGCCTAACATTAGCTATTTTTATCCTTTTGGATGTAAATGTTTTGTTTTAAACAACGGTAAAGATAATCTTGGAAAATTTGATGCTAAAAGTGATAAAGGAATTTTTCTGGGTTATTCCTTAAATTCTAAGGCTTATCAGGTATTTAATAAAAGAACTTTAGTAATAGAAGAATCTATACATGTTATTTTCGATGATAATCCCCTTCCGAGGAAGGATTCTTGTGTAAATGATGATGTAGGTATTATAAATTCAAATGACGTTGGAGAACCATCATCAAATGAAGAAATGAAAGATGAGGAAACTCACGATC